GGGCAGGGCTGTTCTGCAAGGGGTGGGTAACTAATATTGTTGCAATACATTCATCTGTATTCAATGAAGGGACTAGTAAGAAGGAAGGATTCACTGGAGAAGAGCCTGATGCTGGGAAAGATGGAGGGCAAGAGAAGAAGGGGACGACAGAGAATGAGGTGGCTGGAGGGAGTCCCTGAAGCAGCAGGCGTGAGCTTAAATGGACTCCAGAAGATGGTAGAGGACAGGAAGGCCTGGAGGAACGTGGTCCATGGGGTCGCGATGGGTTGGACACGACATCACAACTGACAACAACAACAACAACAAGCCGAGCACGACCTACAACGTACAAGCTGCATTTACTGTAACTGAACACATATATTGATATTAAATGTGCCACTTACAAGCTCTCCCCAAAGTACTTTTCCTACAGTTTTTACTTTTTTAAACAGATGGCACATGAAGTGTCTCTCCCATCTGCTTAAGACACTGCCTTCCCATTTGCTGTTATGTTTTCCACTGGGGGGGGGGAGGAAGGAATAAAAAGACATTTTCAACATAAGAGACCGCCAACGGTACTTTTTACATTATTATATACCTCTTCCTAATTAATTCTTGGTGGTGATGGTGTAGTGCCACGTGAATGTGGGTGCCTATCCAGACTCCTCGCTCAAAAAATATACTAACTGAACAGAACGGAACATGAACATGAACCAAAAATGAGAGTCAGGAACAAACTGGGAGAGAAGAAAATAAGGATTGAATCCGCTTCTAAAAACAGAATTTGTAGTTTGAGCACCTGTGCATAATATGATTATATTATTCCTGATTTACATGGACCATATTCACTCCTGTTCCATTTTTGGATGGCTAGCTTGATTTTAAATCTTCCCATGGCTTCCCTGGCTCAGGATCAGAGTATTTGGAAATTAAACTGGAAGATAATAGGTTTATCGTATCAATCATGTTCGTGCCCTTAACTTAGAAAAGATTGGGGAAGCGTGACTTTATTTCAGGAGTAAAAGTTGTGTTTTGCAGGGACATTCTTGTGAATTTAGAGTGGGTCCTGTAGTAAAGCTTTCAACTTACTTGCTCAGGAAAGACATTAAGCTACCATTAAGCTAACATCGATAATCTGGGCAAAATCATCACTTTATCCTAAGCCAGTGGTGGCGAACCTATGGCACGGGTGCCAGAGGCGGCACTCAGAGCCCTCTCTGTGGGCACGCGCACCGTCACCCAGTCCTAGGCCTTCAGCTGGGTTTTATAAAACCTTTTCGCTTTAGGCCTCCGCCACCGTGTACAAAAAAAAAAAAGGTTCAATCAATTTCAACTCCTCGCGGGAAAAAAGAGATCTTGCAAAGTTGGAATTGATTGATTGAACTTTTTAGTTCCATCCAGTCTGCCGTTACCACCGCAGCCACGCCCACCCAATGGGCCACATCCACCCAATGGGCCACACCCACCCGGCACCTGACGATGCATAAGTGGGTTTTGGGTTGCAGTTTGGGCACTCAGTCTCTAAAAGGTTCGCCATCACAGCCCTAAGCTGTTAGGAATGACTAAATTCAAATGAAATAAGAATTGTTTTGAAGGGTGCTCTCTGAGCTTTGCTCTTTGCCTGCAGACATTTCATTACCAAACTATGTAATGTCATCAGGACTAATAAGGAGTGGGGTCTGCTGTCAGTTTACATTCTAGTTGCTTGTCCTGTCAGTGTTGACGGGGTGGTGGTGGTGGTCTCATTAACTTGTTTGGCAATTCCTTGATTGCTTACTTCTGGATGGTTGGTTTGATGTCAGTCTTGCTGTTTAATCTGAATTGTTTTGCCGACAAGATCTGCTTACTGATGTATAAACTACAGGCTTGGAAAAGCGGCACAGAATGCACAATTGAATAAAAGGAACCATGTCACAGAGTCACGGATTAATTTTAGCATCGCCAAGAAGCCACGTACAATTTTATCCTCTTTCTACTGAAAGAAACGGCGGGTGAGAAAACCGAAAATGGGGAAGAGAACGAGGGTTTTTTTTTTCCGTTTTCCTCTTCCCTAAACTCAGAAGTTAAAACATGGGGAAGAGTAAAAACGTTGGGACAGGTACACTATATTGCCAGTATAAAGGTATTCCTGGACTTACAGGAGCAACTCAGCCCAAAATTTATGTTGCTAAGTGCAACGTTTGTTAAGTGAGTTTTGCCCCATTTTGTGACCTTTCTTGCCGCAGTTGTTAAGTGAATCACTGCAGATGTTAGAATAGAATAGAATATAGAAATGAAGAATAGACTAGAATAATAATAATAATAATAATAATAATAATAATGTTGGAATAGAATAGAATAGAATAGAATAGAATGAGAAGAGAAGAGGAGTGGAGTGGAGTGGAACAGAATATAGAAATATAGAATAGAATAGAATAGAATAGAATAGAATAGAATAGAATAGAATAGAATGGAATGGAGTGGAGTGGAGTGGAATGGAACAGAATATAGAAATATTAGAATAGAATAGAATAGAATAGAATAGAATAGAATAGAATAGAATAGAATAGAGTGGAGTGGAGTGGAACAGAATATAGAAATATAGAATAGAATAGAATAGAATAGAATAGAGTAGAGTAGAGTAGAGTAGAATAGAATAGAATAGAATAGAATAGAATAGAATAGAATAGAGGAATGAAGAATAGAATAGAATAGAATAGAATAGAATAGAATAGAATAGAATAGAATAGAATAGAATAGAGCTGGAAGGGACCTTGGAGGTCAGACAAGTGACTACCCAGTCTCTTTTTAAAAACCTCCAGTGATGGAGCGCCCATGGTTTCTGGTGGCAAGCTGTTCCACTGGTTAATTGTCCTCGCTGTTAGGAACTTTCTCCTTAGTAGCACGGTTGTTAAGTGAATCTGGCTTCCTCCATCGACTTTGCTTATCAGAAGGTCACAAAAGGGGATCCCATGACTCTGGGACCCTGCGACCGTCATAAATATGAAACAAGTGGCAAGGGTCTGAATTTTGATCCAGTGACCATGGGGATGCTGCAACGGTCGTTAAATGTGAAAAAAATCATCATAAGTCACTTTTTTCACTGCCCGTGTCGCAAGTGTGAAAAACGGCCGTCCCTTTTTTTCCCAGTGCTGTTGCGATGTTGAATGGTCACTAAGTCGAGGATTACCTGGGCTGTCCTTGGCCTTTGGGAAAAGTAGTCCTCAAGCGCTCCTAAATAAGATTCTAAAACAAGGGAAAACAACAGATGACAAAAGGTGTTCCTATCGGAGGTGCAGCAGGCCATAAAAGGAGCTGGATTATTTGGAAGACAAAACTTCAAAACCAGAAACAGATGGCTGAATCGAGAGACGGATGTATAACAACACCAATTCATCAAGCCACACGGCATTTATTGCATTGTCTTAACTGCCCTTTTCCGATAAAACAAAATTAAATTAAAAAAAACAAAAAACCACCACTCTCAGCCGTTTGGGGTGTTGTGCTTGAATGGTAGGGCGAAGCAATTTTTTTTCCCATGCAGTTGTCCTTTCCTTACCAGATCACCCCCCCAAAAAAAAATCATTCCTGAGGGTCTCTGTTATTTTGTTATTCCAGAAAAATTGGGGGAGAAAGTAAACACCCCCTCCAGATGCTGATCTGGTGACTGCAATCTGCTGTTCACCCACTTGTAACAGGACTGGTGGGGGGGGGGCAAATGGGAGGTGGAAATACTGCTTTACCATTCCTTAACCGTCGAAAGCTGCCAGGGAAAATCTTCCACCTTGTCAAGTTGAATTTCAGAACACCACGCTGTGACAGCAGCGCGAGCAGAAACTGACTCATCGCCTGGCGACGTTGAACAGGTGTCATTTTGATCGCCAGGTGTGTAGTTAAAATGGTTCTGTAAGCTTGGTGCAATGGTTATCACTCCATACCTCTTGAAGTAGCCGGCATTTTTTTTTTTTTTACCCCTGGGTCTTCCTCAGTAATACCTTTTGCTGTCATAAAGCATTTATTCCCTTTCTTTGCCAATAATTACAAAAAATGATTATATGTCTTTGTAAGCATGAACAGGTAGCATGACTTACAACTCTTTGTTTAGGCTAGGCTAGGCTAGGCTAGGATAAGATAGGAAAGAATAGAATAGAATAGAATAGAATAGAATAATGAAGAATAGAATAGAATAGAATAGAATAGAATAATAAAGAATAGAATAGAACAGAATAGAATAGAATAGAATAATGAAGAATAGAATAGAATAGAAATACAGAATAGAATAAAATAGAAATGCAGAATAGAATAGAATAGAATAGAAATACAGATTAGAATAGAATAGAATAGAAAAATGAAGAATAGAATAGAATAGAATATACAGAATAGAATAGAAATACAGAATAGAATAGAAATACAGAATAGAATAGAATAGAATAGAAATACAGAATAGAATAGAATAAAAATACAGAATAGAATAGAATAGAAATATAGAATGGAATGGAATGAAATGGAGTGGAATATAATAGAATGGAGTAGAATAAAAAGGAATGGAATGGAAAATAATAGAAAATAGAACTGAATGAGAAACCGAAGAGAAATAGAAGAGAAGAGAAATAGAAACATAACAGAACAGATTTTTTATTGGCCAAATGTGATTGGACCCAGAAGGAATTTGTCTCTGGTGCATAAGCTCTCAGTGTGCGCAAACAGCACTGAAAAAAGGGACCGGTTTTCCACAAGTAGCAACCGTTGAAGCATCCCCATGGTCACATGATCCACATTCAGACGCTTGGCAACTGACTTGTAATTTATGACCGTTGCCCTGTCCCTGGGCCACGCGATCTCCATCTGTAACCTCCCCAGCTGGCTTCCGACAACAAAGTCGCACGATTCACCTCACAGCGATTCACTTTAACCACTGTTGCAAGAAAGATTGTCAAATGAGGCCAAACCCATTTAACAACCGCCTTGCTTAGCAACATCAATTCTTGCGCTTGACTGAGGACTGCCCCTATTTCGGCGGAGAGCAGAGCTAGAAATCTTACCTTTGCTAACTCGTCAATGAAACACACGTGGGTAACCGGGTCTCTTTTCTTCGACAAGACCTTCTGCAGATGTTGCACCTGGAAAAAAAAAATAACAACGCGCAATCTGAAGTCCAAGTTCTTGAGATGTTTCACGGAAGGCTTCAGACCAAGGACAGGATGTTTGAGGGACCACATACCTGTCCACAAGCGGCACAGATTTGATCCATCAGTTTTTCCATATTGGTCCAGAGAGCTGCTCGGAAGGCTGCAGTGTTTCCTGGGGTGGGCATAGCTGCTCGGCCAGGACCGCCTAGATGCATTTTTTTAAAATAATAATAATAATAATAATAGTGCATTGGAAGATCTGCAAAAAATATCATTTGCCTGTAAGCAAAAACTGGTGGGATCATAAAATAGAGAAAGTCATAGAAAACAATAAAATTAAACTGCTCTGGGGCTTCAGAATTCAAACAGACAAGCACCTGCAACATAACACCCCAGCCTTAACAATTGTCAATAAGAAAGACAAAAAAGTCTGGATAGTGGACGTGGCAGTGCCTGGAGACAGCAGAATAGATGAGAAAGAACTGGAGAAGATAACAAAATACAAAGACCTACAAATAGAAATAAAAAGACTGTGGCAAAGGCAAGCAAGGGTAGTACCACTTGAATACCATCATCGGCATTGACAAATTCGCTATTAGTCAGTTGCAAAAGGCGGCCTTACTAGGAACTGCTTCCATCCTGCGACGATACCTGTAATACTATCAAACATCCACATCTGCCTATCCCAGGTCCTGGGTAAGAACTCGATAGGTAGACAAAATGCCAAATCCAGTCTGAACATCTGGCTGACTGTGCGATGATCAATAATAATAATAATAATAATAATAATAATAATAATAATGGGTAAGGACTCGATAGGTAGACAAAATGCCAAATCCAGTCTGAACATCTGGCTGACTGTGCGATGATCCATAATAATAATAAGCCGTCTCAAAACCAGTTGGAAAGCTTACACACACTTTTTGAATGTCTAAATTGCTGCGCGAATCAAAAGAAGGAAGTTCACAGAAGAACAGACGATTTTTGACCTGCCTGCAATGATAAGAGAATAACAGAGGTGGGAGGGACCTTGGAGGTCATCTAGTCCAACCCTCTGCTCAAGCAGGAGACCCCATACCATTTCAGACAAGTGGCTGTCCAGTCTCTTCTTGAAAACCTCCAGTGATGAAGCACCCACAACTTCTGAAGGGAAGCAGTTCCACTGGTTAATCAATCAATCAGAATAGAGCTGGACGGGACCTTGGAGGTCTTCTAGTCCAACCCCCAGCTCAAGCAGGAGACCCTTGGCCAGGGGTGTCAAACACAATTTCATTGAGGGCCGCATCAGCATTGCGGTTGCCCTCGGGGGGCCGGGTGGGTGCGGCCTACCGGGTGGGCGTGGATGGAGTGGGTGTGGCCAACTGGGTGGGCATGGCCAGCTCTACATCATTCGCGTCAAGGGTGCCTGTGGGGGCCTGGGCAGGAGTGGGACAGATCTGAGGGTCTCTGGCAGAAAGGGGTAGGACTAGGGCAGAGCGCATCAAACCGGACATGTGAAGTAGGTCAGGGCCATTTGCTGGCCACTTCCAGGCATGGCCCATTGGGTGGGCGTGGCCCATTGGGTGGGCGTGGCCCATTGGGTGGGTGTGGCCCATTGGGTGGGCATGGCTGCGGTGGTAACGGCAGACTGGTGGGACTTAAAAGTTCAATCAATCAATTCCAATTTTGCGAGATCTGTTTTTTTCCCGCGAGAAGTTGATTGATTGAACCTTTTTTTTTTTTTTGCACGCGGCGGCGGAGGCCTAAAGCAAAAAAGTTTTATAAAACCCAGCTGAAGGCCTAGGACTGGGGCGACGGCGCGCGTGCCCACAGAGGGGGCTCTGCGTGCCACCTGTGGCACGCGTGCCATAGGTTCGTCACCTCCCCTCTAGAAGGTCCCTGCTGGTTCCCAGTTACAAAGTTAATTGACACCATTTTTTTCCCGCTCTGCAATCATAAATTCTGGTGAAAATTGCAAGAAGGGTATCTTTAACTGCATTAATAATTGAGCGCAATATTGCATTTAACTGCTTTTCGCACTAAAATGTCAAAGCTCCACAGTGTGTAATTCCTTTTTTTTCCTTCATCAATATTTGATGTCGGATTAAAGGCTAAGATTACAAGCGGTTTCGGTATAATGTATTCTCCGGAATGTGGGATATTTTATTAGCTAAAAGGAGAGGCACCCGTCAAAATCCGGGCAACGTGAATTCAACGTTTTCTGCAGGGGTCTTCAAACTTGGCCCTTTTTTATGACTTGTGGACTTCAATTCCCAGAATTCCTCAGCCAGGCACGTGTGCCTGGCTGAGGAATTCTGGGAGTTGAAATCCACAAGTCAGAAAAGGGGCAAGTTTGAAGACCCCTGGTTTACTGCACTGTCCCAAAGGTGCTTTTTTTTCTCCTGGTTTTCCTTTGAAGACGTTTCGCTTCTCATCCCAAAAGCTCCTTCGGCTCTGACTGGATTCGCTGATATTCCATGTTCTATTTTTTTAAAGAGCCGTTCTAGTCGCTAAAAGAACGCTCATAAATCAAGGACTACCTGTATGTCCCATTGATGGGGAATCTATCAAATCACAAAGCATTGTTTTGTCTAATACAGAGGTCCCCAACCTTTTGGCCATCAGGGACCGGTTCCATGTAGAAAGGTTTTCCCATGGACTGGAGGGGGCCTGGTTTCACGTGCTGCCTGCATCCCACGGATGGGGCTTTGCTTGTTTGAGCGGACCGGTTGCTGCCATGCCGTGGCCCGGTACCGGTCCACGGACCGAGGGTTGGGGACCCCTGGTCTAATATACCAAAAGTGTATTACGGTACCTCTTGCGGCTTGAGAAGGCTGAGTCAGAACTTTAAAATCCAAAGCGTTGCTGACATTCTCTTCCAGGGCTGCGCAATAGCCCTCGACAACATTAGCAATTGTAGGCTTTAAGGTTCCAAGATTGTAGAAAACTTGAAGGGCGGTTCCTTCCTGAGTAGGATTCTGGAAGAGACAAAGAAATCAAGGCTTAAGAAGAAGAAGTGACGAATCAGCTTTTAGCAAGAGATTTACCTTCAACGGTCTACTAGCACTTCTTCCACGCTCCTATAAAATATTGCTTCCTACTCAGATGGTTTTGTTTTACATCGTGTATTAAGTGAATCCCTGCAGTTGATAAGTTAGCAACCCGGTTGTTAAGTGAATCTAGCTTCCCCTGTTGACTTTGCTTGTCAAAAGGTCGCAAAAGTGGATCACGTGACCACCCGGGACACTGCAACCTTCATAACTATGAGTCAGTTGCCAAGTGTCCGGATTTCGATCGCATAACCACAAAGTGTGCAAAACAGTCCTAAGTCACTTTTTTTCCTATGTCATTGTGACTTCAGATAGTCACTAAACAAATGGTTGAAAGTCGAGGACTCTCCGTCACCAAATCTTCCAAACTCTGCATATAGTCTGTTAAACGGTCAAAATATAAAAAGCAGGCCAATTGTCCCCACGGTTCAAATCTTGCTTGTGGGGAAAAAAAAACACAAATTAGTTTCTCGTTTGCATTCATCGTCGGAAAAAAATATGCCATAACAATCAATGTAGAAACCGAAAGGTAATCCTAGGTTTGTGGCATAAATTTTCAGAGAGTGCACTTCTGCTCTGATTATGCAATTATTCAGAATTTAATGAACAAGCTGGAGGGAAAGCAAGGCAGAGGGCTGGTAGAAATTAAAGTGATTATGTGTAGGAGAAAGAAAAATCAGATTATCATCCCAAGGGAAGCCAAAATTATGCCACGTTTCCTCCAGGTTCACCAGGCACAATTTGGATTGTGCTGTAGAAGATATTGTTGATTAATGTTGTGCATGTATTCGTAGCTCAGCTAATTTCATTATCTTAGAACCTGCTAAGAATCAAGCTGTCGACAACGTGGGCAACAACCTGCACAAACAGAACAGCGAGGACTGGGGGGGGGGGAAATTATTCAAGGTAACATGTATCTTATCAAAACAGGTAACAGCTTTTAAAATCATTGGCTTTATCGACAATGTGAGAAATACACAGTATGGCTGCATATTGGCAACAGACACAAAAATACAAAGGATGGCTAGTTCAATAACTGGCACAAATGATATAAGTTAAGAACAGATCAAGTTAAAATAAATAAAGGCCTAAATAAAGAAAAAAATTAATTCAGATTCTGGGGGATGAGTATAGGTCAGGGCTGGGCAACCTTGGCTCTTTTACGGACTCGTGGACTTCAACTCCCAGAATTCCTGAGCCAGCCACGCTGAGGGGAAAGGGAGAGGTTTCCAAGCTGAGCCAGGCTGGCTCAGGAATTCTGGGAGTTGAAGTCCACGAGTCATAAAGCGGCCTAGGCCTAGGCCAGAGATAGGCAACCTTGGCTCTTTTATGACTCGTGGACTTCAACTCCCAGAATCCCTGAGCCAGCCGTGCTGAGGGGAAAGGGAGAGGTTTCCAAGCTGAGCCAGGCTGGCTCAGGAATTCTGGGAGTTGAAGTCCACGAGTCATAAAAGAGCCAAGGTTGCCTACCCCTGGTATAAGTAGTCCTTGACTTACAAAGTTAATTTAATGACCGTTCAAAGTTACAACGGCGCTGAAAACAGTGACTTATGACTGTTTTTCAGGCTTGGATTGCCGCATCCCCCAAGGTCACGTGATCAAAATTTGGACTCTTGGTAATTGGTTCATGTTTACAACGGTCGCAGTAATAATAATAATAATAATAATAATAATAATAATAATAATAATAATAGTAATAATAATAATAATAATAATAATAATAATAATAATAATAAAAGTTGGAAGGGATCTTGGAGGTCATCTAGTCCAACCCCCTGCTCCGGCAGGAGAGCCTATACCATTTCAGTGTCCCAGGGTGATGTGATCCCCTTTTGCGACCTTCTGACGAGCAAAGTCAATGGGGAAAGCCAGATTCATTTAACAACCGTGTTACCAACTTAACAACTGCAGTGATTCACTTAGCAACTGTGGAAAGAAATGTCATAAAATGGGGCAAAATGCCCTAAACAAATGTCTCGCTTAATGTCCTGCGACGATATCTGTAATACCATCCAACATCCAGATCTGCCTATCACAGGTCCTTGGGAAGGACTCCATAGACAGACAAAAATGCCAAATCCAGTCTGAACATCTGGCTGACTGTGCGATGATCCATAATAATAATAATAATAATAATAATAATAATAATAACAACAACAACAACAACAACAACAACAACAACAACAACAACAACAAGAAGAATAATAGTTGGAAGGGACCTTGGGGGCCGTCAAAGGAGATAAGAGAGGCAGGACATACTTGTTGTGTTCATAAGGTTTTTGAATGGAAAGTTTATGATCTAAATGACTTCGTCACGATAAATCAACGTGACTCAAATATGGACGGACCTATTCACGCCTCTTCTGGGACACCAGCACAGCTACTAATTATATTTCTCCTCAAGATTGGGGTGAGGAGTGTTAATCAACATTTCATTCCATTGATTATGCAGCTGCATACTTAATTTTTTTATTTGGTGCCATGCTAGGATGATTACACCAACTTGTCTTCATGAATAAACCAAAGAAAAGAAGTTTATCTCTCTGTCTATAAATAGATATTACTGGGGTTCGAAAAGAATTTGGGCCCGTCATTTTTATTTCTAACATTGACACGTCATACTAAAGTAAAATATCCAGCTAGTTACTCTACAAGCCATTTTTTTTTTAAAGGAAAGCTCTTCTCATTTATATCATTGGGGCAATATGGATTAATACTGCTGATTTACTGTAAGATTGGGGGGGACAATAACAGACATTTAAATATTATGCAACAAATTCTTCAAAGAAACTGCAGCACTGAATAAAAGGAGACAGACTGAGGTTCGGTTGGTAGCAATAATTTGTTCTCTAGATTTGTTAACAGTATAAGATTATCAGAATATACAGCCAGTTTGGTTTAGAGCAGTGTTTCTCAACCTTGACAATTTTAAGGCATGTGGACTTCAACTCCCAGAATTCCACAGCCAGCAATGCTGGCTGTGGAATTCTGGGAGTTGAAGTCCACATGCCTTAAAATTGTCAAGGTTGAGAAACACTGGTTTAGAGATTAAGGCATCAGGACAAAAAACTGGGAGACCGTGAGTTCTAGTCCTGCCCTACTTATAAAAAAACAGTTGGGCCAATCACCAGGAGATTGTGAGTTCTAGTCCCACCTAAGTCATAAAAGCCAGCTGGGTGATTTTGGGCCATTCCCTCTCTCTCTCTCTCACTCACTCAGCCCCACCCACTTCACAGGTTGTTATGGGAAAAATAGAAGGGAGAAGGTGTGTTGGAGATGTTTGTTGCCTTGAGTTGTTTGTAAAAATAGTAAAGGTGGGATGCAAATAGATTAAAAAAAATATAAAGATTTAACTCCTGTTTAAACTATGATAAACTGGAAACAGTGGAATGTGATATTTGTGGACCTGCCCGGGAAAGTCTGGATCAAAAATTGTGGATGCCCGATTATCCACTCACTAAATCCTCCATTCTAATTTTATACTCATGACTCACTGACTCCTACTAGCTTCACACACCTCAACCATGCCTCTTTGCTTTTTTTTTATCAAAAGCAACATAAATGCTTGATTGGAGCTGGATGGAGAACCTCACTACTTAAAAGTAATGTGTTGCCAACAAGATAAATGCTCATCGTGTATTTAGATTACACAGTTTATATAACGTCGCAAGGAGGAGGAAGTAGCTGGTTGGCTGTGGAAATTAAGCAGGGTTTTCAGGTTAAACCAGAGCTGTCCACGTTTGGCCACTTTTGGACTTGTGGATTTCAACTCCCAGAATTCCCTAGCCAGCATGTGGAATTGTGGACTTCAACTCCCAGAATTCCCCAGCCAGCATGTGGTCTTCAACTCCTAGAATTCTCTAGCCAGCATGTGGACTTGTGGACTTCAACTCCCAGAATTCCCCAGCCAGCATGTGGACTTCAACTCCCAGAATTCTCTAGCCAGCATGTGGACTTGTGGACTTCAACTCCTAGAATTCCCCAGCCAGCATGTGGACTTGTGGACTTCAACTAGAAATTTCCTGCCAGTTCGAACAACAAATCAGTGGAACGACTTGCCTCCAGAAAGTTGTGGGTGCTCCAACACTGGAGGTTTTCAAGAAGACATTGGACAGCCAGTTGTCTGAAATGGTAGACGGTCTCCTGCTTGAGCAGGGGGCTGGACTAGAAGACCTCCAAGGTCCCTTCCAATTCTGTGATTCTATTAAACCAGGGGTCTTCAAACTTGGCCCTTTTATGACTCGTGGACTTCAACTCCCAGAATTCCTGAGCCAGGCACGCTGAGGGGAAAAGGAGAGGTTTCCAAGCTGAGCCAGGCTGGCTGAGGAATTCTGGGAGTTGAAATCCACAAGTCATGAAGGGGCCTAGGCCAGGGGTAGGCAACCTTGGTTCTTTTATGACTCGTGGACTTCAACTCCCAGAATTCCTCAGCCAGCCAGGCTGAGGGGAAAGGGAGAGGTTTCCAAGCTGAGCCAGGCTGGCTGAGGAATTCTGGGAGTTGAAGTCCACGAGTCATAAAAGGGCCAGGTTTGAAGACCCCTGTATTAAACAGTTGGGTAGTATAACCTATTTACTTCAGAGTATTTAATTCAAGGTGCAAGAGACCAAATCTTTGCGGACGTGAATTCTACCATTAATCTGAAAGGTCCAAGGGAAGGACATGCTTCAATCAGACGGCCGAATGTTCGTGCTTTATTTAAATGTGCTCCAATGACCTTTAAAAAGGGATTTAATCATGAACTAGAGTTGGTCTTTTATAATTGGAGTCTGGTAAAGAAAGACAACCTCTTTCTGCAACCCGAAAGATGACCCAAAGTTCTTTAGATGATTTCTAATAAAGAATTAAGGATCGACTGAGTCTTAGGGACAAAGGAACGGTTGCCATGGCGGGTGAAAATCCTGAATTATTTAAGTCCAATTTGCAACGT